TTTTTTCGAGATTTGCAAGAAAATTACTCAATTCCAAAAATAAAAGATTTTGAAGATATTGTTACTTGATCAGCAAGATTTTAGGAACTCACTCACCCAAAACCCTATAGTATTCTCAAAACATTATAAATACCTTTCATTAGTCTAATAAAAACTCACCAGTTTTACAGAAAATGTGAAATCGCAGACGTGATGCAATCTGTACGGACTCCGGGAAGAGCTAGGAGACAGTGGTGAACCGGGATCTAAACCTCGCCGACGATGTGAAGATGGTGACGAGGAGGAGATCGTAATTCTTTAGGTTTCGATTGGCAAAACAAGACGATCGGCGATCCAAAGCTCCACCGCCTGAAACGCAACATCGAATTGATCACACCGAATATCTTCAGATTTCGGATATGCTTTTCCGGTGGTAGCTTCAAAATACACGCCGAGAACTCCTTGATACGCTACACGGAGAGTAGATCCATGCGTTTTGCTGTAGCTTTGAAGAAACAAGGCTCAGATCGACGGAGCCGTTACTGTGACCGTTAACGACGGAGTTTGAACTTTCCGTTTCTAAGTTTTTCATTTTGGGTATATGAGAGAGTTGAATAAAAACAATTTGGGCTCTGTAGGTCTTTACAAAATTGGTAGACATGATTCTTTGTTATTGGGTTCTAATACTCTATGTGTTTATTTTTTCATTATGTGAACTAATGAAAGTTGCATACTTAATTTTTTTTTCAAGGCAGTTCTAAACATATTATTTTTAATATTTGTGATTATATAACAATAATAGGTTAGTGTTAATTACATGGATCATTAAGGTTTGAATAGTGATAAAATAATTAGAAAATACAAATAAAATAACAAGGCCGGTGCAAAACTATTAATTCAGACCTTAATTATCGGATCAGTTCAAGCTTTAACCCATGTCTTTTTTCTGAAATTGCTAAAAATAAGTAATGTTCTCAAATAAATTCAAATATCAAATCTTCATAAATACATTAAATACGTAAGATTTAAAATTATGGAGCAATCTTTTCTAATTAAATTCAAAAATTTCTAATTCAAAAATTTCTAATTGATATATTTAAATTTTTTGGCTTTTGTTTGCCCATTTAGCTATGGTTTTTGAGTTTTTATTAAATAGTTTTAAATATTACGGGACGAATTGTATGACACAGGTTTGGTTAGGATTGATATTAATATAAATTTAAAATATCACTAATATATCGCTATAACACATATTAAATCCTCATTTTATTATTTAAAATTTAGCATACGGTATACCGCGGGTAAAATCAGTATAAGACGGGTTAAATCAGCATCTTATTCAAAATCATACAATTGAATCTATTGTTTTTATACTACGTCTATCTATAAAATTTCAATTTTTGTAATAAAATTTCGTCTCACGGTGTATTATACATTTAAATTAAACAAAAAAATAGTATATATCTATAGAGTATCTTAAAACAAAATTTAATAAATTTTTCTAATAAAAATATAGACCCGCGGTGTACCGCGGGTTAACATCTAGTACATTAATATTGCCATTGACAAATCTAGAATACAACTAATGGGCACGTTGTTAGTCTTTGTTTAATAGTCTACTATCGATTGATTGTCTGCCATGTTAGTCTGTTTACTTTGACTTTTTTTTATTTTCTTATCTTTGCTCTTCTAATTCTCAACAGGCAAGTTTTGTTCCTTTTTCGATTAAATAACAGAAAAATCATTACACAAAATATAGAAGAAGATTAATTTCATTGTAATACTAATAATAACTAGATTTTAACCCGCGGTGTATAAAAATATTTTGTAAATTGTATCTCCTTATAACATATTTATTTATATTATAGTTTACAATTGTTATTAAGTAACGGTATACCACGAGTCCACGAGACAATTATTAATAAATTGAGGATTTAACCCGTATTAAAGCGGTATATAAATATTTATTCAAATTTGTCCGCCATATAAATCATTTCCGAAATATAACCCGTTCCGTAATTTCTTAACCCGTCCCGTAATTTGTTTTTATTTTAAAACTTAATGATTATTTATTATATATAAAAGTTTACAAATCATATCATTCTCTAAGACATTTATATTTTAATAAATTGAAGATTTAATATGTATTAAAGCGGCATGTTAATGATATTTAAAATTTTATAAATATTGTTATTAAGTAACATTATACCACGGGACAATTTTTGGTTTTATACAATCTTTTCTAAATAAGACTGATTTAATATGTCTAATATTGGTGTTATTAAAAAAAAGGATTTAATCCGTATTGAAGCGGCGGATTAATGATATTTTAATCTTTTTATTATTGTTGATTTAAAAACCCGTCCCGCCAAACCCGTCCGGCGAAAAAACTGATTTATTTTATTAATGTTGATCTTATTTATGATATGATTCTGAATCATTGTCTAAATATTTTAATCGATGTAGAACGTTGAACACACATTTTCATCAATTAGATGATATATGTTCGTTTTTAAAATTTCGAATCACAGTATATGCAGAATTTTTTTTTTTTTTTTTTTTACTTTATGTATTATATGATGATTCAAAACAGTTAAAAACAAATCAAACAAAGATGATAGGAGAATCATAATTCAAATCTTAATCAAATCTTCTAAATATCTAAATTATTAAATATGAAATATCCGGTGTATGAGTTGGGTTAAATATAACCCGACCCAACAAATTTTTTGTGAAGGATTTTAAAAAACGGGTCGGATATCCGATTAACCCAGAAGCATTTTTACCCACCCGTCACCAAAGTGTTGCAAAAATACTAGTATAAATAGAAGGAAGAAGTTAAACTCATGACAGCTAACATTGAGCTGACGATGATACCTTCGAGATTAGTCATTAAAAAAGATTAAACTTATGATAGAATTCGAAAATTTAAACTATAATAATGTTAAGAACACGATGTTCCTACTGTCCTACCTCCATCAAAGTCCTGGGCGTTCGGTTATCTAATCAGTTATCGGTTCCGTTTCATTCGATTTTGGTTCTTTCGGTTCTAGAGTTTAGTATCTATTCGATTATTTTCGAATTTCGGTTCGGTTTTAGTTCGGTTTCGGTTCTTTTGGTTTTAAAATTTAGTATCCATTCGATTATTTTTAGAATTTTTAGAAAATTTTCGGTTATTTTCAAGTGTTTTTACTATCTACTATACATTTTTGAAATACATTTTAAGGAATCCAATCAGGTCAGATTTTTTAAAATTTTGACCCAGAAATCTTCAATTGGATCTTTCCTTAAATGTTGGCCAAATTTAAAAACGAAATTATTTAATAAAATGAAAATATATATATACTCTCAACTAATTACTATACCTAAACTTTTTATTTATGAAATATTTTTTACGATTTTTATAGATAAGGAAATCAGATATGATGATTTAATGCTAATATAACAAATTTGAGCTAATTTCCTAAAAACTATATACTTAATTTAAACATAAATATATGATTCTCATTTTACTTTTATATGATCTTATATTTATATTATTTTGAATTATTATAAAATATATAAAGTTAATAAAATTTTAAAATTTTTTCTACATATTGTATAATTCAAATTTTAAAAAACGGACATATATATTACTCAATCGATGAAGAAAAAAAGTATATGTACAATCTACTTAACATTTTTGAAGTACATATTTGCTCAAGGTAATCGGGTCGGATTTTTGATTCTGATCCAGAAATCTTTGATTCGGATCTTTTCTATATTTTAGAAATTTTGTAGTTATTTTGGGTAAGATTCTCTACAAATAAAATCACGACATTATTGATTGCATTAAAATTGAATTCTAATAATCCGTTGGTAAGATGTTTTATAGATAAGGAAATTAGTTACTAAATCATACCATATATATTTTTATATATTTTGTAATTCATATTTAATGTTTTCTCTTTTCTGATTTTGTTTTTATGTATGTTTTGGTTTTCACTAATTGAGATCTAAATTCTGATATTTTGTAAATGTATAATGTTCAGGGAGTCTAAATTCTGATTTTACTAATGTCACATGGGTCAATTTACTAAATTCTGTAAATGTAAATTTTATATATAAATTCTGATTTCAATAATGTCACACGGGTCAATCTCTAAATGTGTAATTGAGTTAGTAAATTACATCTGTTTTATGGGTTAAATCTTAAAAACTAAAAAGTATAATCATATAACTTTAATACTTTATAAAATTTATTATAAAAATCCAACATTTTAAGTTTTTATAAGTTTTAATCTCCGTCCAAATGGGTAATTGCAATACTAACTTATTCAATTACATATGTTATACATGTTAAATCTAAAAATACCAAAAGTTTAATTCATATAACTTTAATACTAAATAACAAAATACCAAAATCTAATATTACTATATATATAAATAAAATATTATCCCGCTTAAATCCTAGATTTTTGAAAATTTACATATAAAAGGACCAAAAATATACAAAATAAATACAATAAATTCATTTGCTTAAAATAAAATTATAAAATTAATTAAATATTTTAACTCGCGGTGTACCGCGGGTCATATCCTAGTTTTTATATATTTTCAAGTTTTTTTATTGTTAAGTGTATAAATAACTAATATTTTTGGATATATAATTGTATTTCGGTTCGGTACCGATTCGGTTCCAGTTCTTTCGGTTTTAGAATTTAGTATTTATTCGGTTATTTTCAAATTTTTGGTTCGGTTCGATTCGGTTTATTTTGCTTCGGTTCCGGTTTGTACATTCGGTTCGGTTAATTTGCCCATGCCTAAATGACAAACAGTGTGCTCCATAATTAATTGGCTTTCTTGTGGGCTAATTTATATATTACACGTTTATATTATTGGGACTTGAATGTTTAGTTATCGGCCCATAATCATTTTACGATACCCGAGTTTGTAAATTAAGAACACAATAACACTTTTTTTGGTAATTAAGATTGCCTATTTTTTTAGCTTTTTAATTTCCTTAGAAATAGACAAAACAAGAAGCAAAGTGGAGTCGTAGCTCCAACAACTACAATAAAGGAAAATATGAACGAGATGGCTCCGCTCCTAAACATAAGGAGAACGGATTCTCCTCTTATTTCTAACTGAAGCAAATAACATAATTAAACTAAAAAAGAAAAAGAAAACATAAAACATAAAGAAAACTGGTTTTATTGGTGGTTTTGCAACTCCATCAATTGGATTTGATGTCCACTTATCCAAGGAGGACATCTCAACTTAATTTTGGAGTACTCCTTCTTACTTTGGGTGATTATGTAACAGTAAGAAGAACAAAAGAATATGTACTGTTGCTTTTTTATCCTTAGAATGAAGGGACCTTGGCAGCGACAATGGCAGCGGTGGCAAAATGGCCTTGAAGAGGTATTGTTAGACACCAATTCTATATAGTACTTGATCTTTCCTTCGTGTTTGGCGTACCTGATATCCCCAACTACACAAAAAACATGTAAACTGACCCCGCAATCTTTACAAGTGTAGAACCAAGTCTTTGGATTTGTCTCTCTTTCGCAAATATCACACCAGTATTTGCCGCTTGCCTTTTCTTCACCATAACAAAGAGTGAGTGGATGATCATCATACCTGGGAAGCGTTACCGTTATTGGTAGAGTGGCACAACGGAAATCCAAAAAGTAATTGCATTTGGTACAACCTATGGCGACTCCTTTTTCTTCGATACCGCAACTCTGGCAAGTCTTCACGTTACCGTATTCTAGTTTGAGGTAGAGTAAATGATGATCATGACTTCCATGGATAAAAGGCACAGTAATCAAACTGCATGGTAAGTCAAAGTTCTCTTTCAAATACGACGAGTAAACGAATCCTTTGCAAAAAATTTGATGACAAGCTTCGCAAATTTCATCGCCCATATGGCGTTGAAGGAGATGATAGCTAAGAGCAAGTGGTTGTGGGCTCAGAAAATGTCGTTTCTTCATAGGAAGATTTGCACAGGTTTCATGAAGAATGAAACTGCAATCTGATTCTGGACACTTGTAGAGTGAGCAAGAAGAACCGATGGGACAAACACATGCTCTACACAAGATACTTTCTTCACTGCTTTTATCGAGCCTAATGAGGTTTTCATGATGAGCGAAATGATCGATTGTGTTGTCATCATTCCTCTTGAATGGCTCAACATCTTCAACTTCTTCGGGGACTCCGTCAAGCTCTTCCCCATCCCACACGTCAGCCCTTGTTGCGCATAGTGAATGAATAGCATAACGAGGACAAATGGAACAAATATAAGCCCCATATGACCAATCAATCTCTTCCCAACAAACTCCACATCTCCATTCTCCAGGACCAAGAGGATACTTGAAGGAAACACGATGGTCATGGTGATTAACATGAATGACACGTGGTAATTGAGCACACCTTTGGTGGAAGATCATGAAATCACATTGAACACAGATGTAAGGAGAACGATCGCCTTTCGTCCCACAAGCATCACAGATGAAGGAGATCAGTTTTGGCATGAGTGTGAGTGTATGCTCATGGACATTTAGATTTGAAAGAGCAACTGGTGGAGGGCTTTTAATCGCACAACGCAGATCCAAATTGAACTTACAAATATCACAATGATAAAGTAAGTTCCCAGTGTCTTCTCCACATATATGACATCTTGGGTTTGTGTAATTTGGAGCTCCACTCGTGAGAAGCTTAAGAGGGTGTCTGACATGAGAAGGGAACTGAGTGACCTCTTGTAATTCAAATACACATTCCTTATGAATCACCAACCCGCAACGATAGCAGAGATAGCCTTGTCCGCCAAAATTCTCGTTACAAAAGTCGCACCTATTTTTAGGTCCAAAATCAAAAAATAGTAGAGGATGGGGGTGCCATGGCATATTATAAAGATCTGGGCCGAGTAAGTGATCAGTTATGCAAAAAATGTCCAAATTGAGTTGACAATTAGAGCAATGATAAAGCAAGCGCTTGGTGTTGTTACCGCAGAGATGACATTTTGGGTCGGTGTGATCAGGAGCTCCGGTTGTAAGAAGCTTAAGAGAATGTCCATCATGAGAAGGGTGGACGACTATCTCTTGGAACTCGAACACAAATGTACATTTTTCGTGAATATTAAACTTGCATTCGCTGCATGCATAGCCATCAACATTCAATCGATCACAAGCATCGCATTCCAAACGATCATGATCCTTAACAAGGGAAACAAGATGCTCGTGTCCTTCTAACTCTTTAGTCATGGCGGATGCGGTTAGCAGAGATACAGAGGATGGAAATCAACGTTTGGGGTTATAGCACTTTGGTTTCGTGTAATAATGGATCAATATTGTTGTTTCTTTATATACTCTAATTAAATCAATGCTACTTGTTACACATATATGACGTTGATAAAATTATATATTATTAGTACAGCTAGTTGGCACGTCGGTAGTCTTTGTTTAATTTAAACATTAATATCGATTGTCCCACTAAGGTTTTGTCTGCCATGTTTAGTTTTTTTACTTGGATTTTTTTATATTATTTTATCTTTCCTCCTTCAACTCTCATTTAGCAGCTACCGTTTAAAGTATAAATATTTTCTGTGACTTTAGATCAAAAATCGGTTCTTTCTAAATATATTATATATATAGTTTTTTTTTTGCATTCTGTGTCTTAATATCCGTATATATTTTCAATGGTAAAAATATCCAGATTTTTTAGAGTCATAATGATTTTCCCTGTTTTAAGTAAGAGCTGTCAACATATTGCATGGACTTGAAATTAATATAAGAAAATATACTATATTACTAAAATATATTAAAATACTTTAGTATAATTTGGGCACGACAGATTTGGGCACTTTCACAGATTCCTACGGCTATGGGGATTTTCCCCACAGAATTTAATTTTACGAATTTGGATCACTTATTTTGGAGAATACCTACGGAATTTGATTCATCAGTCTTCCCATGGATTATTTGGTATATTTGGAAAGCAAGGAACGAAAAGATCTTTGAAAACATAGATACAGACCCAGCAGAAGTATTACGAGTAGCGGAAAAAGAGGCACAATTGTGGCAGTCAGCTCAAATTGAGCTCCATAATGAAAATCATGGTTCTGTGGACTTGGTAAATCAAGATCGAGTGAGGGATATTTCACTTGAGGCGGAGTATTCGGGATACCGTTGTTTTGTGGATGGATCATGGAAAGAAAGTGATAGGTTCTCTGGTACAGGCTGGTTCTGTACATCGTCAAATGGAGAGCCGCCAACCATGGGAGCTGCGAACCTCCGTAGAAGTCTATCTCCACTACATGCCGAAGTCGAGGCCCTTCTCTGGGCGATGAAGTGTATGATTGGTGCAGATAATCAAGAGGTAGCGTTCTTTACAGACTGTTCAGACCTGGTGAAGATGGTGTCTTCTCCAACCGAATGGCCGGCGTTTTCAGTGTATTTGGAGGAATTTCAGAGCGACAAATAGGAGTTTCATCTTTTTCTTTATCTTTAATTTCTCGTACGGCTAATAGTAAGGCGGATAATCTGGCACGAAAAGTACGCACAGAACCGTTTCATATCACCTATGTAAACAACATTCCTCAGGAATGGCTCTTTTGAGCTTTAATTAATTGCGGATGACAAAAAAAAAGAAAAAAAAAAGAACTTCAGTCTAATTAAAATCATCAAAGATCCAAGGATAACTTTTATCTTTCTTTTTTTTTATTTCACTCATCAATTTGAATTCTAGTGCTAGATTTTATACTAATGGTTTTATTTTTATAGGATTTAATAAAATGATTTTTGTTTTAATTATAGTTATTTTGTTGTATATTTCACTCTATTTAAGTATGAGTGTTAGGTTTCATTCTAATGATTTCATTCTAATTTTCTATTCTACCTAAATTTAATTTTCTTGAACCATATGATTCGTTTTTTTTAACCTTAAGGACCAAATTTTTATTAACGAAATTTTTTTTAATTTGAAAAAAAACTTAAACCTCAAATTTTAAATAAAATAAACAGTATAACAATTTTATATAATTATCTATTAGATCACAAAAAGTAAATATAATAATACATATATTAAAAATAAATTACAAAATTTATTCGAGTTAAGAAAAAATTAAGAAATATATATTTAATAAATGTATTACAATAATTTATTTCATTAAATATTACATAATTAAAAGAATTACATGGATATATTAGAAAATAATCAAACATCTAAAGTAGATAATGGAAATTGATCTTTTCAACTTCATTATCTTGTTCTGCTATGATTGGAATTGATATATTTAACTCTCCATCATCAATGAACCTGAAAATTTTGTTATAACCATCAAAACTTTTAGTATACATATGTGAATTTTAAACAAAAAAATGAAAATTAAAGAATAAATAGGTATATTTTAGTATGGCTTTAGATATATAGAAAAATGAATACAATGTTAAAATAAATTTAGAATCAAATTCTTGATTTTTAATCCATATAACAACATAAAAATAGACACATAAATATAGTAGGAGAAGATGAGAGAATAAATAAGTATAAGATGATTATCTAAAATAGACAATGAAGATGTATCTTTCAAAAAAAAAAACTAATGTAAGAACACAAAACAAAAAAATATTTAAGATTTGAGCTATAGTGGAAGAGGGTGAGAGGTTGAGAGGATGAGAGGATGAGAGAATGAGAAATGAGTATTTATAGGATGAGAACATTGAGAAGTGAAATAAGTTACAATTAAAATAAATAAATTATGGGAGTTACAATTCTAATTTATTGTGTGTTGAATAAAATTGAGTGGAAAAATATAGTTAATGTATAATTTTAATGATTTCAGTTTTTATATTAAAGTGTGAGTTAAATGTATTTTAATTATGATTTAATTAAAAAAAAATTAAGTTACATTTCCAAATGGACCAATAAGAAAAGAGTGAAACCTTACTTTTATATGTATGATTTGGTTAAATCGCAGAAGACAATCTCAGATAGAAGAAAAAAATGGAAAGGGATCGAGATTGATTGAAGATGGAATTATATGTTTTTTTTTTCTTTTTTTCATGTCAAGATAGAAAAAGTTGGTTTTTTCCACTTCTTTGACAATCTAAGTTTTTGTATTTTTTTCTTAAAATAAATTAATAACCCAAAATATAAAACATTGTCTTCCGAATATATGCAATATCTGACTTTCTTTATTTAACACATTATGTGAATACTTGCGTTACGCTGCATGTTTTTCTAGATTCGTTTTTCGAAATGTTATGTTTGATGGATTCTCCTAAAGAAAAAAAATCGAACTTTTGAATTTGGGACGAAAAACATGAATTCCGAAATACCAATTTAGTTTGAATTTTTGATAAAATAGTCAATTTTCGTTGATTTGGCCATTTCGAGCATATCGTTAAAATTTCGTTAACGGGATTAACTTTCGGTTAGAAGTTTCTGTTAAATCGAAACGACGTCGTTTTGAAAGCTCCAAAGTGACGATGTTTTATTAAAAAATAATGATGGAAAAAATGCATCCATGGAGAATCGAACTACTAACCTTTTGGACTCATAAGAGACTATTTACTGCTCAGTACGACAGTAGTTTGGTATAATGGCAAACATAGCATATATATATATATATATATATATATATATATTAACAAATAACAATATATATTTAAATAAAAATATATGCAATAAATTAAAAATAAAAAACTAAAAAAATACCCAGCATATACAAATATTAAATAGAATTACCATAAATATATATTTTGAAATTTTAAATATTTAATTTTATATATAAAGATTTCTTCTATATTAAGAAATTATTTTTACCTAAATTATAAAAAGAAAAACAGAAACTTATAGAATATAGAATATTAAATATATGACCTTTTATTTGTAAAATCTAATCATACAATCTTTAATCCTAAAATCTATATATATAATGGTAGAATTGTCTCTCCATCTAGGGTGTCCACATCATCATCCAAGTCATCATATTTTAATTTTATGTGGGCTCTACATATTTTATTTATTAAAATAAAAAACATTAATACTATAATTAATTCACACATTTTATAATTTATATTATTATATTTCATTAAAAAAAAACAATTAGTTACAATAGAATAAATTAAATATTAAAAAAAATTATAACACAAAATATAAAATTTTGAATAGAGATTGGATAAACATAAAATTAGATAATTGTATCTTAACATATAATGAGTAAATATTCCTAAAGGACTAGATATATGAAAAAGAAACTTATCATATAGTTTAATGATAAAACAATCATTTTTAAGAGATAAGACTTAAAAATATATTAAATTTAATTGTTTTTACTAAAAATAAAAAGTAATTCATTTCTGAAAAATACATATTTAAAATTAGGGAGACTCACAAAAATGCCTCTTTTTCAATACCCCTTTTCAAAAATGCCCCCTTTGGATGTCCATTTTTAAAAATACCCCTTTTATGTACAAAATGACTAAATTACCCTTCTTTTAATAAAAGATATCATAAATATATAAGGAAATATAACAAAATTAGGTCCACAAAATACAAAATATTTTTTGGCGGGAAAAGTGATCCCCCAATTTTTCCCGCCAAAACACTTGTAAAAATTTGTAAAACCTTTAAAATACCTTGTAAAATTTTCCCGTAAAATTTTTTCCTGCCAAAAAATTTTCCCGCCAAAAAAATTTTTTTGCGGGAAAAGTGATTCCGCAAATTTTTTGGCGTTAAATTTTTGGCGGGAAAAATTTACAAGGTATTTTAAAGGGTTTTTACAGGGTATTTATAAGGTTTTACAATGTATTTTAAAAGGTTTTACAACGTATTTATAAAGTATTTATAAGATATTATAAGATTTTACAAGCTATTTTATAAGGTTTTACAAGTTATAAGGTTTTACAAGTTTTTTATAAGGTTTTACAAGTTATAAATACCTTATAAAACCTTATAAGTACCTTGTAAAACCTTTTAAAATACATTGTAAAACCTTACAAAACACTTGTAAATACTCCGTAAAACCTTTTAAATACTTTGTAAATTTTTCCCGCCAAAAAAATTGCCGAATCACTTTTCCCGCA